CCCCGTTTTGAAAATAAAATCAAAATAATTGCAAAAATTGGACCTTTGAAAAGAGAAGAATGAAGTGAAATTCCATATTAAATAAAAATAAAATAAAAACAATAACAACAACATCTAGCAAACATTATAACAAATTAAATAACCCATTTAACCCCTATCATGGAAGTCCCTAAAATTCATCGTTTATGTTCAGAATCATCGAGCCTCCCCATTTTCAAAATCCTGGATCCACCACTGAGTTTAGAGGATGGAACAACGAGATGGATCAATAGGTCCCATATTGTCCCAAAACATTATGTTAATTTGTGCTGTTTATTATTTGCAGCTAAATTATGCAATATGTTAAAGGTTTCAAACAAATTAGTTTTCTAAAGCTGCTCTTTGGTAATTGTTGCAATAATTAGGACTATAAGTAAATATTTTTATCTTTTTTATAAAAGTTTAGCCTTCTGGAAATCCTTTTAAGCTTACGATATTTGTATAAAAAGAGTTTAAAATAAACTAAAATTATTCACTTCTTTGATATTATTTTGTGATCTTTTTCAATTATATTTTTGGTAGACAAACCTGAACTAGTAATCTAAAATGAAGTTAAGACCAAATATTTGGGAACAACATGTTTATCCAGAATGGTACTTGAATTAAAGAGGACTTGTGACAGTGTTGAAACTTGTTTCTGAATGCGTTGTAACTTCATCATAAATAAACTGAATAAAATTTTAGTTTGTAATAATAGGTGGTAACTTCATCGTAAATAGACTGAATGAACTTTTTATTTTGTAATAATGGGTCATAACTTCATGTTAATTACTTTGTGTGTTAATCTACTACAAGCCTGTAATTTTACTAAAGATCCATGTAGTGGAGAATGATTTAACAAAATGCAGGTCACAAGGGTTATTTTAATAATTTTGGTAATATTGTAAAACACTTGAAACTTTGATTAAATGTATTACTTAGTCATCATGATTTTTAAAATGTTGAATGATGTGTGTGTAAGTAAAAAATATTTAATTGTGTTGAAACTGAAAATGCCAGATGTATTTTCTGTTTTTACAGGTTGATGATGCAGAAGACATTAATTCTATTGCTCTGTTAATAGACTCAAAGACTCCTGAAGGATTTGATGTTTCCAGTGTTGAAATTTTACCTGGAAGGGATAATTTTGTCTGTAATCTCCAGGTAAAAGACTAATTTTAGTTATTTAATTAATTTAAAGGTATTTCTTCGTGAGAGAAAAAGTAGAAAATAAAACAACAGTAGAGTATCACTAAAACTAAATCTAAATAATAAATTAACATTTAATAAACTTATTTTTCTTAAAACACAGAACAGTAAATAAAGAAGTAAAGCAGACAATTATCTCTTCTAGTTACGACCTTTGTACCAATTTGCTGCTTGTCGTAGGTTGCTAAGCCTTATGAAATTTCCCACATGGAGGATGTGAAAAGAATTTTTTTTTTAGATATTTTATATAAACATTTTAGATAACCAAAAAAATCATAAATTACTATATCAATACCATAGAATTCCACTATAATTTATCAAGCATAGAAACTAAGATATATTTGGGTCTAAAAAAATTTGAAATTTCGAGCTCACTAAAGACTTACCTTATCATTTGAAATCTTGTGTGAAAAGAATGAGATTAACACAATAACACATCAAAATGGCTGTGAAAATCATTAGGGGGACATTCTGAGCTTCTGATTGCTTATTCATATCAAATGTAGAAGTAAGTGTATATAAGGGAGCATTTCCAATATATTAGCAAATAGAAAAGATAGGAGGTTCTTATTTTATATTCTAGCTTGTCAATATTGGTAATTTGAGTTCCTAATTCGTATGAAACTATAGACTTTGTATTTTAACATCACATCCATCTAATTTGAACTAGTGCTGCATTCAACATACCACATGACACACAAAAATCAATGTTTAGCCGTGTTTTTCTAATATTTACTATTAAATTAAGAAATTAATTAACGTATATAACACCAAAATTTGAATTATAATCCACAATTTGATACCAAACCTATTAACATAAAGTAGTAGTTCAATAAAGTTTTGAATGCAAGTCAACAAACGTGATGACATGGACTTTGACACGTGACCCATTGTGATAGGGTTAATTGTTCATCAGAAAGTCCATATAAAGCTTCTTTTGCATAAAAATAAATAAATACTTAATTCTCTCCATGACTGCATTCCCCACCTTTATATGCTACTCATTATTTTCTAGATGTTCTCTCAGGTTTACAGGATTCGACTTCCGTTCACAGAACAAAACAGTCTCCGGTTTTCCCTGCACTTGGAACGTATTATTCAGGTAAGATTACCAGAGCTGTGTCTAATTAGAGTAATGAAGTAATATTTAGTTTTATATTAGGCATATACACCACAAATTAACCTGAGTAGCTGATTAACCCTTTTCAGCCTGTTGTTCATATAGTTACAAGTACTTCTTGGTTTTGTCTCGTCTCGTAACGTTTTTTATGAAATAATTTCCGTTTCTAAAGGAATAAAAAGCATTTATTGTAGTAGCAATTTTCAATGGGGTTATGGCAAAGATAATTGCTCGCTATCACTAACAAAGATGCTACTTTAAACCTTCATCATTGATATGATGTACTCAAATATCAGCAGATTTTCTGTTTGTTCTTATGTAATATTTCTTATTGCTTGAAATAATGACTACACTAACAAACAATATATTTGCGAATATATTTTTTTCAGTATTTGCTTCAATTACATAAGCCTACAAACTTAAACTTCATAAAAGTTGTTTTGATTTTAATGACGGATTTTCCATAATTCAGCTACACATATTTCGAAAGAATATTAAATTTTTTCTATCACATAAGTATTTTTTAGAAATCAGGAAGACAGAAAAATTTACTTAGATCAAATTATTATTTCCTTTACCACAATGAACATTTTTTATTATTATGTTTGTTAACAAAAATACAAACAAACTGAAGAAAAGGGAAGAACATTGATGTCAAACAAATATGCATCTTCATTCATCCTGATTTTTTGTGAAATCTACATCTTTTAGTCTCAAAACTATGTGTTGTAGGCTTTCTTTTTATGTATTACATCTGGAGCATCTCTTTTCAATGATCAGCAGTAATCAGCCATCATATTGATGTTCCACCTTCCCTGATACCTCCTCTCTCCATTTCCCCGATGTCTAGATGAAACCTTTGTCTTTGTTCTTTATAGGGAAGTAGTCAATATGTGAGTGTAAGAAATGAACTTTCAATCTCATATTACAACCCAACTCTTTGAATTTATTGAGCATGTTATTGACAACATTTTCATAATTTGCGTCCTTGTTGTTTCCTAAGAATTTGTCAATAACATATTTAAAGGCATTCCATGCTTCTTTTTCAACTTTCCTCATTGTCCTTTCGAACTGTACATCCAAAGTCAGCTTCATAATCTGAGACTCAACAAAAATCTCTTCTTTAAGTTTCACTTCTCAAAGAGCTGGCAATTGCCCACATAGATACATTAAACAGTCACCATCTTTGTCTAAGGCCTGAATAAACTGCTTCATCAAGCCCATTTTTATGTGAAGTGGAGGTAATAGGACTTTCTGTGTGTCAACCAAACTTTCACACGTTCAATGTTTTTCGTCCTAGTATCAGGTTGACTCTGCATGACCATTGCTTCTTTATCCAGTGCTAATTTCATGCTCTGCTGTTCCATTCACACAAAAAACATGGAAACTTCGTAAAACCAGATTGTTGACCTAACAACATACAAAGGACTTTTAAGTCTGCACAAAGTAGCCAACCATGTTCTTTGTATTTGACCTTATTAAGAAGAAGTTTGAGATTTTTGTACATTTCCTTCAAATGAACCGAATGAGCAATAGGAACAAATGCATATATGTTACCATTCTGAAGGAGAACACCTTTTAGACTTCTTTTGGAGGAATCAATGAACAATTGCCATTCACTTAGCAGCACCTAGCATTGGTATTAATTCAGCAATATTGTTGCAATAAACTAGTGAATCTTCTTGCAAAAAGTATGGTATAAACTCTTTCTCACAATTTCTGTACCAGTAAAATGATATCCCTGGGAAAGTAAGTTGTTAGCCCGAAGTCTGGACCTCAAAATCTCTGAAGAATCCTTTGGAGGGCCCAAATCTCTCACCAAATCATCAAGTTCACCTTGTGTGAAAAGTTGTGGTCCACCAGATGTTTCAGGTTTAAAACAATCCCTATCATCATTTCTATTGACATCAAATTCTGAATCAGATGAAACTGTTTCAAGAGTCTCCAGTGAAGTAGGTACAGGCACATCAGGTCCATGAGCAACAGGTCTTATAGCAGATTGAAGGTTCGGATAAGAAATTTCCTTTTTATTTTGAGTGTTGTAGCCTTGCACAGTACATGAGCAAGAATAGCAGTTATCTCTGTGGTTTCTAGTCTCACGCCAGACCATTGGAATTCCAAAAGTCAAAGACTTTTCTTACCTTTAGTACATTGTCTCAACTCTTCGACACAAAAGGTATAAACTTTGTGTGGAGTCCATGATTTGTCTTGGTCCCCAAGTTTTATTCCAAAATATATGTAATACACTTTTTTGATGAATTCTGTAATGTTTTGCTTTTGTTTCTTTACAACACATTTACCACAAATATAACAGAACATGTTTGGGTCATTTACACAACCTCTTGTTGCCATAGAAACAAACAAATAATATTGAAAAGAAAAAATAATGTCAAAGTGCATGCACAAACAAATACTATCTAGAAATGACACGTCATATGGCCTGTTAACTATTTATATACTAGAGGTGTGTTTCTAGAACAATCAATAAGACTCTCACATTGCAGTTGATCTATAGAAATCTATAGCTAGCATTTATCAACATTTTAAGCATGACAAAATGCGGCCCGATTTTAATGAAAATGATTCACTTATGTAAAAGTAAATATGACTTTTTGTGAAAAATCTTTAAGTGATGGAGAAAAATGGATATCATTTTTGGATTAAGCTTACAGGTTTTATTGTAGAACATGTAAAATTTCAAGACAATAAAACCATTGCAGGTCTTTGTTATTATACTCTTAAATGCCTCACTTTTTCATTTATTTCATCAGTTTCATTATGAAAAATGTGTGTGGTAAGCTTTAATCTTATGCAAGCTTCAAATATGCACATTACTTAACATACAGCAAACATTGTCTAAAAATCTCTGTTTAAAAGCCTTGCAATAACTGATATTTTACCTAATATTTAAAAACATGAAATAAACTCATTAGTCAAAGATAATTTCATTATTTAACTAGTATTATAAATGATGTATTGGTGTGTGTGAATAAACAAAATATGTTGCTTTTAAATACTCCATTCTTGTACTCAAAGAGTTATTTGTGTCACATGCCAACTTTCATTTGCCTTGCATAGCTAGAACAGCTATCACCTAGGAAAAGGTATATCATGGTAAAAAAAATCAAAACTGTTCCTCCAATTGGTTTACAGGAAGATAAACTACTCTTATAAACAGTAAAGTTGAACAGTAATCACCAGTTTGATGTCAGACAAATAATTGGCTTGTTTGAGGAATCTGGTGGTTAGGGTACTCAACTTGCAATCTGTGGGATAGGAATCAAAGTTAAGCACCAAAAATGCTCACCCTTTATACTTTGGTGACATTATAATTTGATGGTCAATTCCAATTGGCATTGGGTGCTGCTGGCTGGTTGCCTTCCCTCTTACAGAGTTACGTTCAAAATTTAATTAAACAACTTAACTATCAATATATATTAGTAACCTTGACATCCAAATGTGGTTTATTATTCAGATTTTAATATTATTGTTTTAATTTCATAATTTCCAAAGGAAATATTTGAATAAATTCTTAATCTTTTCTTCTCTGTGTCATGTGATCTTTCTTCACTCTGAATTGCTCATTTTGGATTTTCTTTTTGCTCCTACGATCTTCTGAGTATGCCACTAATTACACACTTATACTATAAATATTGCTAAATCATAATGTAAACTTATAACCTTCTAGCTTCATGCTTTACTGAGACAAACAAGAAAATCAAACCCATATGCCATGCCCATCCTAACTCCTGTTTTTCCAAAAAATTTCAACAAGTTTCTCTCTTGACATTTGCTGTTGAATTATTTATAGTCAACAAAAAAGCAGATTGTTCTTTATGAAGCTAATTCATTTAGATAATGGATTAGGAAATATTTAGTGTGAGTTTCATTGTTTGCCTTTGTGGTGTTTGGCTTGACCAGCTAGTAGAATTATTTATAGCTTAGTTTGAAAGCTAGTTAAATTATAGTAGTTTTAAGCCATTGTGTTTTATGTTCTAAGTTGTATATTTGAAATAATAATAATACTTTGAACCATCAATGCTGTTACAATAAAGTTTGCCTGCAGTGTTTCATCAGCAATGGGGAAAAAAGCCTGGATCTAGATGTAAGTACTAAATTTCTTGTTTTTATGTAGATATTTTATCGTTATAAAAGTAAATAGAATATAAAAACTGGAAACTTATTAGGCTAGATAAGAAAACTTAAAATAAAAATTAAATGAAAACGTTTCTTGATATGTAATACTTATCACAATCACTTGATGGTGTGCTATTGTAGTTTGATTGTGGGGTGCTTGTAACTCAATAAATTATTCACACAATTGGCTTTTGACATATTCTCACAGGGTCTAAGTGCAGCTATAAAGCAATAAAACCAAATGAATTCAGATTTGAAAATTCCGTTAACTTTGGTTATAAGAATAACGTTTAACTTTTGTGTAATCATCTTTTGCAACATGCAGTAATTTTAGAAAGTAAAAAGAATAATTTAGTCTTATTTCATATTTTTCAACTTTCCATGTTACTTTAAACTGCTGATGTAGGGAAAATAAAAGATAAAGTATAAAGTTTTACTGAAAAAACTTTTTATTTTTATTTAGGAGGTTCTAGAGGTTATGCAAATTAAAACTTTAAGGTGTAAAGAAATATTTTTATTCTTAATATGAAAACCACTTTCTCTCAGACAGGCTCAGAAAAGGCTTTGTAAATCCAGACAAGTCTTTAGTAGAAATACTTTATTAAAAAAAATATGAATTTTTGTGTACAACAGACTTGTAATGTTTCCTAAAATCTTGCCAAATTTCATAAAGATACACTTACCACATTAAGATTCATAGTTTGTATAGTTTCATGGTTACATGGTTGTTACAGGGTGAGTCAAAATAACTGAACATGATTTCAGAGAGTTAAGCTGTGAAATATGTGAAGCAGTGTTTTGTGTATGAGCTAATCATAAGAGGCTTACAATAATGAAGAAGATGAATTATATACATGTAAAATAGAATGGAATTGAAAATAAATAATATGGGTTTACATACAAGTTATAAATGTGTAGAATGTTCTGAATAGTGTAGTGCTTTAATAAGAACAAAAAAGATGCTAAACTATCTCTTAGCTAAATATTACGCTAAGGCAAAAAAAAAAATTGGTTACAGAAATATCCTTACTTCTGTATTAGAGGTATGACAAAAATGTTTTGGGAATCTTTGGGTATATTGAATCAAACCTAAGTGTTTCCATAAACAATGTAATTTTCACCCTTTTTTGATTATATATACATACACAGTTTGAAGCTTTTGTCACCAAAACTAGACAGAAAGTAGGAGCAGGGTATAAGAAACTATTCAAGAAGCTGTATTAGGCTTTTACAAAAATGACAAATGAATATCTTAAGTATGTTTAAAGAACAGTAAATG